CTACCCTTTTCTGGTTCCCTCAGGATAGAACAATCCTTCTTCAATACTCCTACTTCTTTTCCGAGGGTTTCATCTTTAACTGATCTTCTTTAGCTGTGTGTCATTAGGAAATGCTTTTCAACAACACTGGGAAACCCTGTGAGTGCACTTAGACAATTTTTCTTATACTTTGCTCTTGCTGGTGTTAGAATTTTTCTGCCATCTTTCTTCTTGTGCACACAGTTATTTTTATAGTTTACCTTCACTTAGCATTTTAGTAGCTATGTGGGTATTCAATGACATTTGCCAGTATAGGGTTATATTGTTCTCTTTTAAACAATTTGTGAAATCCACATTTATCAAAAGGATGTACTGCAGTGACTTGGGCTAACAGTTGTGATAGAATATTACAGAAAGGGACTTGGAATGTGTACACAATTTAGGGTTTTCTGAGCGACTTAAAAATATTATAGTCAACAGCCAAATAATAATTCTTTCCATAATTGATACTTCTATAAGTCAGTCTTTTTCCATAAGTTATAAATTCTGATTTTCACGGACTCTCATTCTCATGTGGTTTAGTGGGAGGATTATCTTAGCTACTTAGCTTTCAGACACAGATGATAGTATCTACTGAAATATGGAACAATTTAGCAGCACACTTTTTTCTTTTAATGTCTTTATTTAGACTCCTAACAGTTCCTGCTGTTAAACTAAAGTGATTCTTTCACCTAAATATTTTTGTGTTCTATTATTGTGTCTCCCCATCTGGTCCCTCTTCACTACAAATCGTTCTGTCAGCTTCCAGGAATATTTATCTTTGTCCGGCACTCTTGCCCACTTCGGTGGTTATGATGTAATGCATGATTGTGTGCATTATGAACAAACATGAAGATTCTCATTTCTTAGCGCAGTGCATTGTTTTCTTCTCACCTGACTTGCTGTCCAGGGGCCTTGGCCCATCATAGTTATAAGTGTTTGCTTTTCCCCTCCCTGTACGGTCTCAGGTGTACCCTCTCGTGCTTATTCATGGTGTCCATTTCCAGTGACCTTAGCCACCCTCCGCCTCTTCTCACTGCGGGCCGCTTCTGTGACTCATTCAGCACAATTAAGGAAGCAACGCACAAGTATGTGTCTGTCATATTGATGAATTTCCCCACATTTATTTTTTTCTGAAAAACGTTTGCCTTCCTCCTGTTTCCACCACAGCTCCTTAGAACCCTCCTGTCAGCCACCTCTTCCTCTGCTCATCCCTTTGTTCGTCCCAAGGGGCCCGTCCTCCTCTGGGTGACTTCATGCAGTCCTTTGACTTCTGCTCTTACCTCTCCTCTTTCATCTGCTGCCTCTGGACCGTCCGTGGGCAGTGAAGTTCAAGCAGATCCCGCACTGAACTCACCATCTGTAACGTGGCCTGTGTCATTTCCCGCTTCCTCCCTGCCATCCCTCCATGGCTCAGGCTGGGGACGAGGACCAGCCCCTTCTCCTCACCTTCCCTATATCCCCAGCAAAGGTACAGGTCCTTGGCGCTCTGCTTCAGCAATGCCAGGGCCCAGTTCATCCCTCTTCAAGTCCTAGATACAGTGGTGAGGCTGTTGTAGCAACTCCTACCATCTCTTCAGCCTGAGTCTTGCTGTGCCAACCTCAGCCCCACGCTCACCGGGCTCGGAAGCCTCTCCAGGGCTGGGTGCACATGAGTCCCCTTTGCAGCCAAGTTCACCATCATATTGCCTGTTGCCTGGTGCAGTTCCTGCCTGCTCGCTCTCCCTTCTTTCCCTGCTAGATGTTACGCACTGAGCTCGGTCCCCTGCTCACCATGCAGCCACTGGGGCGAACACGGCAACTGCCGTGCGAACAGCACTCCACGAATACGACTTCTATACTGTGCAGTCTTAGTTCTTAAGCTTGCTAATATTTAAACTCTAAACCAAGTAGAATAAAAATATAAATTCATAGATTGCATAAAGACAAAGGCTAGAATTAGAAGTCAGGGTTACATTTCAGGCTGTCTCTTGCCTTACTGAGTGCTTTTGACAAAACACAGTTTTCTCTCTGTAATGTAACTGTATAACACTCATCGTTCCTGAGCATTCAGTAGAAATGACAACAGCAGCTTGGATTTATGGGCCCTGAAGTGAACTTGTTCTTATGAATTATTTATTTCTTCCACATCCTTTTGGGGTACACATGCACCTCTCCTTCTACAAGGTAATAAAAAAGGATACAGCCCACTTTAAATGAGGAAAACCCTGACCTGGAATTGGTTACCTCCTCCACAGAGTGCCTGGAGGTTTTATGACGTTGTCATGAGCCTCTGTGCTCTCGGACGAGAACATGGGCTGTGTAAGGTAGTGCATATTGCACACTCGTACATCTAGTTCCTTTAGAATGCAAAATATTTTGGGGTGAAAGTGTGTGCAAATTATTTCAGTGTTTCATCTGCTTCTGGATCATTTCTCCATGTTTTTTGAGAGACACTTTTTTTCCACACCCACTCTGACCATCTGTGTACCAGGCAAGTTTTCTAAGATGTAAAACCACGTGAAATATGTCCATGTTATTTATTTAGAGAGAGACTATGACTAATGATATGGGGGGTGATGCATAGTTAATGAAAAAGTGGATTCTCTGCATGAATAGCCTGGGAAGCCTAGCAGTTACAGCCACAGGAAGCTGTGTCCTAAGGATAAATATTCAGCACCACACTTCTCAGTCTAACTCTGCAAGCAGCACACAGGATCTACCTACGAGCTGGAGGTGGTCCCCGTGGAATGATACTATTTTGAAATGTATGCACATTTGCATTCTGTCCTGGAATATATCGTTTGCTTTACATAAAAATGTTTAAAATTATTTACCATAAAGATGGACTTTTCAGGAAACGGTGCCATGTTGATTTTTGCCTGTAGCCGTGCCCTGGTATGCTGGGTGTGCCCTTCAGGTTACTTTTCCCGCTCTGAACAGCGCAGGGTGTTACGAGTCACACCTCAGACCAAGGGACTTTTGTTGAAATTGAAATGAATCCTTCAGCCTGTCTTCTTTTTCCTTTGCTATGTGAAACTTGCAAAGTCCTTCGTGAGACCTTGAAAGTGTCTCTGTTAGCAGCTGGCTGGTAGCATCTGCACAGGGAGGCTGACTGAGGAATAAGACGGGGTGGGCAGAGCTGGTCAGGGACACTACCTGTGGCAGGGAAGGAGCCGTCTCAACTGAGAATTACAAATCCCCTCCCTCTTAGCCCTCATCAACGTAGGAACCCAAACCAAGTGGGTTGAAAATGATCAAACTATGTTATATGCACACAACAGCCTGCCAAAATGGAACTTATTAATAGAAAAATTTTTAAAGTTGTAAAACTTCAAAAAAGAAAAAAGTTGTAAAACTTGTTATTTTTATGTGTGCACTTTGAAAATATGTTGACTCAGCAAGCTGGTCATGCTCAGCTATAAGTACCAGAAGTGACTTGTTTATACATTTAAATTTCAGAACATTTGTAAGGTCTACCATGTGTACTGTTAAAAGGTTTTTAATTTTAAATTATTTTGTTAGATAATCGTGTCTCCAGTGACATTATGATTTATCGCCACTAATCAAGATTTCTGATCCCTCATAGACGTCTTGTTTGTATCTGTTTTTGTTCTTTGTTACATAAGTATGAGGTTTATATATAAAATTCGGACTGTGTAATACAGGGCTAATGAGTCACAGATGGAAAGATGCTGGCACATTACCATCTAATAACATTTTAAACTCATATTGCATAGTAAAACAAAAGCAAATTGTACACATCTGTTTTCCAACTTGTAGTATTTCTGAGTTTGTGCAGAGTCTGTGTTTAGAAGACTCTTACTTAGAAGAGAAGGAGGACACAGGTCGCTTCAAAACTACCCAGCCACTTAAACGCCTTATCAGAATGAATTTTGCCAAAAGTACACGATTTCCTCTAACTGGCTCCCTGAAAAGTCCTAACACTAAACAACAAGAATGAAATGCATTAGGGCTAAAAAATGTCTTCGTATGACAAAACTAATTTTATTGGCTCTCTTAAAAAGAAGAAAAAAAAGCATGTCCCTAGCATGGGGGAAAGTAAGAAGAATATCCACAGAGTGAGCAAAATAGAAGCTTTGTGGCTTTTCCTAAAACCTGTCCTCAAATAGAATCGGGTGAGAAGAGAGCCCAAACAGGAAGGAAGCCACAGAAACCTGAGGCCATACCTCTCTGTGGTGGCTGTTTATTTGTATGGTAAGCATGCTCTGCGTTTAGAAAAACTGGAATGAAGGGCTCCGATTTCACGTATTGTTAGAAGAGAAACACAGAATAAAGGCAGAGTTCCGCTCTGCCTTGCCCATGCAACAGCGCCTGTAGGACAGATCTCCCCCTACCCTCGTCCCTGGCTGAGGAATTCCAAACTCCTTTCCTGCTGTAAGGGGCACGGTGTGAACTGGCGAGTTCTCTTGGGGAAGTTGGGTGACAGAGCGATCCAGGAGGAGTGTGACCCTAAGTCCCCCACGTGAACGTGCCCGTTAGAAGAGACCATTTCTGCCCACCCCTTCGTGGGAATTCCTGAAGCAAGGGGGCGTGAGAGTCACCGGGTGACTGGAAGAAACTGGGTTCTGTGGGTGGGAAGGCTGTGTTTTGGGAACCATTTTACTTCTTCCAATCTAACAGCGAAAGTGGGCTCGCTGTTGGTGACCGCAGAATAACGCGTGTGTTCTGTGTTGAGTGGCACAGAGTATCCAGTGTCCCCAGCCGTCTCCTTTCTGTACTAACATTTGGCGAGGCAGGCTCCGTGTGGAGAGCGGCAGGCTGCACCCCAGTGCGTGCAGGCAGCCCCCAGACTGCCGCCGGGCCGTAAGGGGCTGTCTGTGCACGCCGAGCTGTAGGCAGCGGCACAATGACTTCTGGGCCTTCCACCTGCTCTGGCTCGGCCAGGAGGGCTGGCGTCAGGCTGTGCTGGCTCTGCCGTCCACCTGCGGACTGTCGTGTGACGCTCTGTCATGTGTTTTGGCACTGCGCTGTGTCCATAGGGTCTGCCTGGCTTCCCCACGGTCGCTGCCCTGCACAGCAACCAGATCCTCACCGTCAAGGTTTGTGGTCATGCTCGGCCCACGCGCTCAGACCCACAGTCAGCACACAGGCAGCAAGAACCGGCCACCTGCCGTCGGGCACCCAGGGAGGACGGTGGCATCGGGCCGGCACACCCCCCTGAGACCACGTCACACCTGCCTGTGATCTGCACGCACTCCTGCTGGAGGAGCAACTCTGAGGGCCGGACTCTGGCCACCACCCACGGCAGTCGGGTTCACGCCCCTGTGTGCTGGTTGGCGGCTCTGGTGGAAACGGAACTGGCACTGGACGGGGCGACTCTCTGCTCGGTGGGACACACAGGGTCACCCCGCTCAGCTCCCTCCGGGAGTGGCGCCGATGCCCATTTGTAGCCCTGGGGTCTGAGAAGGATTCATGTCTAGCCAAAGTCTGGCCTCACCCTGGCGTTCCAGGGTCCCGGTTCCTTTGGGAAGAGCCAGCGGGTCCGACCCAGATAGTGCCGGTTCCGTTCATTCAACAGTCGCTGTAATCTAATGTGTGTATCTTTATTTCTTTCTTGGGGCCTTCTGATGTCTATTCTTCAACTCTCTCACCTCTGAACTTCAACCTTTGACCTCACCTGACTGATCAGATGGTGTTTCCTAAAATCAATCATGGCTTTCTCTCTGCTGATCAGCAGCTCATTAAACGCCGCCTGATTAAGGTAGTGCTTCCTCTGGCTGGAGTCTGATCTTTGCAGTGGTCATTGCCTTACTGCTTACCTCCTGGGTGGGGCGTGGGTGTGGGGTGGGGGGGCCTTATTTGTAAATGTCTTAGAATAAATTTTTATTTGATGAGCTGCATTTGAACTGTATACGAAAGTACTAAAACAAAGAGACATCAAAATTTTCAGTTTTAATAATCTTAAATTCTAACTAGTGATAGATCCCATTTCTAATCTCTCGAGCTTTGGTTACTCATAAATTATTACACAACCTGCCAGGAGCCTCCTCTGCTTAATTTTGTTGGTTATGAAATATAAACATATTTGTTGAGCTACAAATGCAGCTGCTTGTTAAGCAGTGACTAGGACTCAGCACTGCTGCAGATAAAGTCATACAAAGTTTCCCACCAGCCTGCACTGGGGCTGCCTTGGCTGTAATAGCATCTCATTGCTTGCCCAGCATGAATATTTATTTGCTCCCCGCTGGCAGGTAGATTGCCTGCAGGCTTGATTTCTGGTCCCTCTGGCTCCTCTCAGAGTATAAATGTGGATTAGATAAGGGCAATTCAAAGTGTTGAGAAGACGACCCGGGATTAATCTCTCCTGATTATTGTCGGTCTGTTCCCTTCTCCATTGCAGGGTGACCAAGGGCAGGCTGGGCCCCCCGGACCCCCCGGCCCTCCAGGTCCCAGAGGGCCCCCCGGGGACACCGGGAAGGACGGCCCCCGCGGGATGCCAGGAGTGCCTGTGAGTGGCTTCGGGACCCTGCTGTCATGGGAACCAGGATGGGCAGGGTAGCGAGGGGCTGTCCACCTAGGGTTGGGAGCAGGTTGTGAAGGGCAGTCGGGTGACAGGAGCAGTGTGCCACTTTCCCTTCGCCCTTCGGAACCCTGAGGAGGATGCAGCAGGTGAGTCCGCAGCACTTCTGGTCTGGGGCCCCTTTCTGCACCTGCCGCAGGGTGGGCTCGTGCCTTGGGTATAGGAGAAGATAACTTTGAAAAGGCAGTAGGAGGCTGACAGCAACTTGCAAAGGGTCCACAGCAAACACAGCGAAGTTTCACTGTGTTTATGGAATGTAAAGGCAATAAAGTTTTCTAGTGTTTAATTCCTTGTACACAACTTGACCAAAAAAAAAGTTAATAAGAAGAGTAAAATTAATGGTTAAAATATCAGTGGGTATGATTTTAATAGCACTTGTCCCTGGTAAATAAGCCTTATTAACAGACATCTGGGAAAGTGCCCTCAGTATTTAGTTACTAGGCATCGAGTGTCATGGTACAGGACAGTAGATAAATGGCTCAGTAAAGGGAAACCAGCAACTTTAAAGGAGATGCGTATATGGAAATAGTATAGATGAGTATTATGACTTTAGGACTAGGAAATTAAGGCTTATTACTGAATTGTTTTGTTGAATGTATTCCTTTATTTGATTGCTTTTATAGCACAAATATTAGGAAAATTTTAGCCACGAAGTAGGAAATTTTGAAAATAAAAAATTCAAAACAAGTCAGCCATAGTCTCTCATGCTCTAGTATATTTTCTTTCCATTGTATAGCACATGTATTTGTTTTCAGAGAGTGATCCTCTTTGTCAGAGTGAGGGACAGTTGAAGACTTGGGGGAGATAACCTTGTGAGAAAGCCCTTCCCTCCTGGGAGAGGCTGGGCATTGGCTTGCAGGAGAGGAAGAAAGGACTCAGGACTTGGGGCCACTCCCTGACCCTCCAGCGCAGTGGGCTCCTGCCAAAACTGTGTGCTTGTGTGTCGGGGTGACACCTCCCAGGAGAACGAGGGTCGTGGATTTGGGGTATTTCAAGCACTCTCGTTGATTGCTAGTTGTTGGCGGAGAGTCTGTAAATAATAAGCTGGTTAATAGCATTTTGATGCTACAAAGCTATTCAGATCATTGAGTATTGTGTACAATAACAAATCAGATTTAATTACTAATTTACTTTTAAGAAACAAAAAGTAAGGTATGACAAACTAGACAATCCAGTTACGTTATCCTTTACATCATTATAGTTGATTCCGTTAAGAAGTAGGGCTTTTTACATAGAGAACAAATTGGCTTTTTAAAAGGATTTTATAAATGTGATTCAAACTTGCTTGATAGTCTCCGAGTTAATTCGCTTATGTTGTCATAACTACTAGAAAGGTAATTTATAAAACCAGTCAGAGATGGCCCACGGCAGCGACGTGTTGGCATCCCAAGCACAGGTCTCCAGCAAAGTGTCTGTAGCACGTGGCTGTCATTGATGGTGTGACAGGAAAGCATGCTGATTCTCCTTGAGTCTGAGTATAGAAGACGGTAGCGGGAGGACAGGTTTTTCTGTATCGATTTTAATGAAACAAGGCACTTCAACCGTGAATAATTCATAAGGACCAAAGTTGAAAATCAGTCTGTGCGCATTTTATTATATAATTCCTGTCCTGAGAGCAATCGTCTGTGTCCTCTAGGGAAACTTCTGCGTTCTTCTAGGGAAGACACCTGCTGTCATCTTTATGTCACTATAACGAGGACGTGATCAGGTCCTGGATGACAGAAAGCAGGGAGGCCCCATTGTGGAGATGGGTCAGGGCATGGGGGAAGGGGGCAACATTGGCTGAGTGCTGAGGATACAGACCAGTTCCCCGGGTGATTAGAATGGGTATGTGTTGCAAACTGCTACCAATAAAAATATGTAACTAGACTAACTTTATTAAATCCTAAGGTATTTATAAAATTTATTTGAAGAGCGAATAGCAGATCTCTTTAAATTCTGTAGCATATGTGTTCTTTTAGCTTTTAAAAAGGTACTTATTGGTGGGTTGTGGGGAGTATTAGGAAAAAGAAAATAGTTGCTAACATTATCCCTGTTCTTTTTGAAGGGTGAACCAGGGAAACCCGGAGAACAAGGCTTAATGGCAAGTATCTTGATTTATGTTTTCAATGCTAAAAGTGACAGAAGCCCAGGATGCCAAAGACTCTAGTTGAGATCATGAGTGACAGTTGTGTCTGTTGTGTGAGCCATAGCAAGAAAGTGCAAACACTGACGGAAGGTAGAGTTCTGTGGCCATTCACGACCCACAAGGGCCACAGGACCACACATGAGTGTCAGGAGCGATGCAGGGGACGGGAAGGTCCACGCAGAGAGAGGAAGATGAAGATGAGCTCTGCAGTGTGGTGCGGGGGGCCGGGGTATGCAGACCCCTTACACAGAGGCACGCTCCCCGAGAGCTCAGGGCTGCTGAACCATGCTGCGAAGCTTACCAGGGGTTGAAGGTGTTTTCCTCTTGCCCCGGAAGAGGCAGTCATGACTTTTGGATCCTTGTTCCTTAAAGCAGGCCATGAAATGACGTCGTCTGGGCTGGGGCGACACAGGTCCGCAGACTCATGGTGGCTTTGTCCTGTGCCAGTCAGAGGGTGAGGGGACTGTGCTGGGCCCCCTCTCCTGCCTCTTCCTCCCTGCTCTCAAGCTCCTCCTCAGCCTGCTCCACACACTCAGTACCGCCCGGCCATCTCGGCACGTGCCGGGGGACCTCACGCCCTGCCAGGGCACGGGTCTCCAGTCTACTGCATGATGTGTAGCTCGCATCCTGCAGGGGCCAGGAGATATTTATTTTAAAAATGCCCAGCAGGTCCTAGTGAAAGTAACTCAGAAGTCCCCACTGCCTGCCCAGCCAGCCAAGCCCCTAAAGAATGAAAGTGCTGGGGACTGAACCACATGGTCACCCTGCTCCTGTCCATTAAGGTCAGGATGGGTATCGATGTTCATTATTCTGGGGACTACCACTAATTATTTTTAAAAAGAAATAAAATTAGAAAAAAACAACACACATGTCATCAGTGGTAGCTGCAGTACAGTGCAGCCCTGACTCCCCGTGTTACGAGTCATGCCAGTACTAAGGATTCTGGGGAAACCAAAGTACACACTGCTATAAGCAGTGAGAGAGAGAGAGAGAGAGAGAGAGAGAGAGAGAGAGAGAGAGAGAGAGAGAATCCCCCATATATATGAGGTAGGAAATTGAGGCACATTAGGATAACAACACAATTGATTTAGGACTCTATCAAACATCTGTACTCAATGATCTCAAACTAGGAATTGGGCATAGTTCAGCGGGGAGGATGACCTTAGCATGTAAAGACCCTGAGCTCAATTTTCAGCATCAAAAATACAGCAAAAACCCCAAACCACCACCACCACCACCCAAAGTACCACTGCAAACTGGGAATTGTAGGAAATGGGACTGTGTTGCCACTCACAAAGTACATGCACAAGAGTATACACAAACTCAAGGGTGACAGGAATATGATGCTTAAAACCATGCCCGTTTCAGCACAGAACACTGCATGCAAACAAGCTGTGCAGAGCCAAAGCCGGGGACAGACCCGAGCTGGCGGGAGATGAACAAACTCCCTGAAGTCTGGGCAGGTTTTGACACAAGAAGGAATGGGAGGAAATCATCCTGACAGTTTCCCAGGAAGGAAATGAGAGGTGCTTGCAACCGCTTGTAGCAGTGTGTACTTTGGTTTCCCCAGAATCCTTAGTACTGGCATGACTCGTAACACGGGGTCCTCATCCCAAAGGCAGCCCCATCCCTACTTCTGTCGCCATGGGTTAGTTTTATCCGCATGTGCATTTCATGTTAATTGCATTGTACGGTACGTACACATTCGCATCTGGCATCTTTCATGCAGTGTTGTATTTGTGAGATTATCTACTTTGGTTTTAATGGCCTTCACAGCTGGTTAAAAAAAAATAGGAAGAACCCGACTTCCTTGACCGCTGTTAAAACTGCATCACACAGAGCACAAAGGAGTAGTGTGTCTGACCTGGGGCAAGCCACTTAACCCCCAATTTCTCATCTGTAGAGAAAGGATAATAATACCCTCCCCACCGGCCTCGAAAGGTCGTCAAAGACAAATGCAACATATTAGGGGAAGCACTTTAAGATCTGTAATGAAAAACGATGTGAGCATGTTATTATTATCATCACTCAGTCGTTTCCTCCAGAGCAAATTACAGGTGAGCCAGCCTGGATTTCTATAACAGATGTATTCCCGTAAAGTTGTGTATGAATCAGATTTTCATAAATCACCACATCCTAAGTGCGCTGAGGAATTTTGCAATTAAAGCGATCCTATTCCGAGCCAGTGTTCTTTCCAGCAAGCTCAATTCCTACAGTTTCTATTTGGTTACTCGGAAATACCTTCTCTTGTCTAAAAAAGATAACATTCTTTTTTAAAAAGTCCGTAACCAGAGTAGTACCTGTGTCTCTTAGCTCGTCTCAAAGAGAGATCATACTAAAAGTATTTTAATTTTCATGAGTTTTTCTTTAGAAATGTCTTTTTACATACATGTGTGCACACGTGTGGGTGGGTGGTGTGTGTGAAATACGGAAGTGCACACGTGTGCGGGGGTGTGATATGTGTGTGTATAAACTCACAGTTCAGTAGGGAGAAAAACCCTTGGTACCAGTGAGACTTGACTGGGGACGACTCGGGTGTAGGGTTATAAAAATGTAGGAGATAATTGCTACTCTTCATATCCCAGTGAAGTATTGTGAGAAGCAAGGGAAATATGAATGTGCCTGTCCTGCGAACTAGAAGGAATTCCAAATGTGAGAAGTATTGTGGCCAAAACAAATGCCCCAGGGCATCACTGGGTGCATAGGAAGACTCCATCAAGAAATGTCAGGGCTCAGAGCGCTGACGAGCTCCGGCGAAACGTTAAATACTGCGGTTGGCAGAGTGGAGTGTGGGCTACCAGTTTTCCATAACGCTTCCCTTCTTGCCTGCCAGCTAAAACCACGAACCTAATGGGCACCCGCTGTCATCTGCCACGAGAGCAGATCCACTCTGCTCCTGCTCTGTGCCGTGTGGTGCGGTGCGGTGTGTGCCCGGGAGGTGAGGCTCTTAGGAGACACTGCAGCACTTTGCCAAATTAAAATCTCTGGTGGCCGAAGAAGGCAGCTCAAAACAACCTAAAATTAGCTCTTACGAAACTGTTTATGAGTGGTCAGGTAGGGAATTAGTTTCATAATCCAGGATAGTTTATATTGCCGAAATAACCATGGGAAGATTAGCAGCATGGAAGATGCAATAAAGAAGAAAAAGCTCCGCCTAGGCTGCTCTGCCTTTGTTAATCCTGTGGCCATCGCAGCCGTCAGCGTGACCTTGGGGTTCTCTGACAAGTTCAGGATGAGGTTTTAAAAGACAGAATCTTAGGTCGAATAAATAGGATTCCACCTAAGTAGGACTGAGTCCACTCCTTCTTACAAAACCAGCAGGAGAGAGACCCAAGACTCGCCACAGTCCAGGTGCCCACGTGGTTAACCCTGGCCTGAGTGACCTTGAATCCGCCAGTTCTTCTGGGTTTCAGGGTTGTTAAAATAGTATTTTTGAAGGTATATTTCCATTAGATAGTCTTATTACTTCTTTAAAAGTGCAGTAGAAGTTCTCAGAAATCTGAAGGAAAAAGTATTTTTAATACACCAAGAAGTCCCAGTTCCTGGGTATTATTTTTGGTCTGCGGTGTCTGTTATCCAAGAACAGCCCACCTTCCCTGCTCTGAGCCCCCTAAACCCTTCCCCTCCCCAGCTCCCAGATTCATGCAAACTGCATCACATGTCCATTCACCCATTTCTTAATATAAAAATACATTTTTACTCTCTGGGCCTTGATAGTATCTGGGAATTCAAAAATCAGAAAAAGTCCATTAAGGTGAAGTTTGGACTGAAAAATTTAGATATTTTAGCTTGTTTTAGTTTTGCCTATAAATCCATTGATTACATTTGCACCACATGAATATAATACTTTTTTCATAAATAACTGCTGCTGCTTCACTTAGAAACTGAAATAACTAGTAAGTGAAGACTTGCTTTAAATGTCGTTATAACGCATTGCTGGGCCACGAATTTACTCAAACTCGGCATTTTCCTTAGTGAGCTTTGATCTACCTGCTGTCTTGGTCAGCAGATGGCAGATACTGGAGAGGACAGCAGACTTCGCTTCCTGATTTAGACCTGGCAGAGAAAGCCAGGCCCCAAGCCTTCAGATCCCTAAAACAAAGATGCAGAAAATTATCTGAGCATAGCGATGAGGCTGGATTCCAACAGTGGAATCTGGTCTGGCGAGACTGCGTGAGTCGCACACCCTGCTGCAGGGGTGTCTTAGTAACTGTCCTAGCACTTTATTATCCTCGCTTAATCTGATTGTCCATGAAACACATGTAAGGGGCACAGAGTGAGCCCGCCCACCTCCTGGCCTGCAGCACTTTGTTTTCCAAACGAATCATGAGAAAGTGGCCATGTGATCTGCCTTCCCTCTTGATGCCTGCCCGGCACCCCTTCCCGTGGGTCGGCACAGGGTAATCTGTGGCTTCAGGGTGCACAGACTTTTCTGAAGGCATCTTGTCACATGAGTGCGGCATCAGAGAGGAAATTTTGAGTTTCCTTCAGAGCTAGTTCTGTCTGCAAGAAACAAAACCTCACCTTTTGGGAGAGCGCTTCAGTGGTACTTAAGCACGATCATGGGGTCCAAGAACAGAAAGGTGTTCTCGGGGCTGAGCAGAGGATTCGGCCTGTGTTCTCATCGTTTCCTTGTGGTTTTCTTCGTGATCCCCACGCTCTGAGTGTGCTCTGTGCTCGGCACTGCTCACACTGGTTCCAGGGAAAGATCTAAAACTGCTCGGCCAGTGAAGATGTCTTGACCTGAGGTTCCTCAGCCAAGGAGAATGGTGACCCTCAGTGCTCCGAGCCCCACCCAACTTCAGAGCCCTGCCATACACCTGCGTGTGCGTTATAAATGCTCAGGTGCCTATTATATTTATCCCTTGCACAAAGCATCTTCATGATGAAATGAACAGGTGTGTGTTAAATTTTGAAGGAAGAAGGTCTTCCAGTGTCTTCTTCAAAACTACGAT